AGCCAAGATTCAGCAAGGGTTTAACTTTACGCTTTTTAGGCAGGGATCGGCGGGTCTCCACTTCGGATCCCGGAACCGCCAAATTTAAAACACGTTTAGTGGACGGTTGAGTTTGGGGACAAGGCTGGGAACGGCTGAAACACGAGCTGGGATGGAGGACTGTATAATTCTCGTTTATTACCTGGTATTTTACTCTCAGATCTCGTCTCAATCTCGCTAAGCTTCTAGCACAATCTACAGCCCTGCACCTTGAGTCACTTTTGCTCCCAAGATTATTAAATGCACGATTCCCGTTGAGGACGCGAGCGTTCACAAGGTTGTATTAGCGGTGTTTGGTACGGTCTTGTACGGGATCTTGGTCAAGAGTCTTGAGTCTCAAGTTCTCAAGTTAAGGGTCTACAATTTAAGGGTCTACAATGTTAAGACAAAACAGGTGGAACACAACGATGACCACAACGAGAAGAAGAAAATAGTTGTCAGATAGTTACCACTGTCAAATATGGCTTGTCTGAATTCATCCACCAACCCCGCCAGTTCCTGACTGCACGTACAGTACCCCGCACCTAGCATATCTTCGCCATTGTCTCTAGTCCATGGGATGAGATGCCGAAAGTCTGTTGACCAAATTGCTTTTTTCACACTAGAGATACGAGTGGATACGTGGTGACACAGCGCGTCGGGATAGTGTCGGAGGGTGAACTACTGCTACCAGAACACGTATTTCTCCACAAATATCTCCACAAAAACAAGCCACACAACCACATCTTGTACAACGTCCACTATACCGCAATCACGCCATGATAACGCATGTCCGTGAGCCGAACAATGCCTCACTGTCAGTAGTGGTGTGGCGAACCTTGTGGTTTTGTGGTTGCTCTGGATGCGTCCCCGGAATGCGGTGGCTTCACCGGGGGGCTGAAATGTGGCACCTCCGTATTTGCACATTTTTTTTGTGCTTCTAGGGGTTTCCCTTTTTTCTCTAAAAACCGTGAAAAACCAGACATTTTCCCATTTTCAGTTTGAGTTGGCGTTGCGGATCACAAGCGTATTGTCTACGTGCATTGTCTCAGACGTGCGTTGGTATTGTTGCACCAGTAGACTTTACGTTCATTGGGAGAAAAAAATACGTCAATCAGAGCTATAGATCTCAGTTATAGATTAGGTGTCGGGCTGTCATCGGAGGTTGTAGGGTAGTATTTGTACGAGAAAAAAAAGGGGATCCGTCTCGTTGTCCAGGTAACAACCTCCTCACAGTCCTACTGACCCCCCTACACTCTCAAATCGACCTCCTTGCTTCTCAAAGTTGGGTCTGCTTGGCGAATACCGACACGGCTAATCTTCCCGTCAGAAGCCGGGCGTCGGCTAAAGTTGCCTCGTTTATGCGAAAAGTGCAGAATGTTGAGAAAGGGATTTTCGGCGTTTGATGTACGGAAAAAGCGGGAAAAAAGAACCAGGTCATCTGCCACACAAGACCATGTGATTTCCGCTTCTAAATCCCCTTAACTCAGCTCTACCGTCCTGTTGTATGCTCCCTCCTAAGCCTCTACCCCAGCTTCCAGCCAAAAATGCAAAGCCTAAAAGCAAAAAAACAAAGGCGCCAATAATGGAGAAGATAAATCTGGAGCAAAGACGCGGGCAGCAACATCCAGTCCGGACCGGTTAAGCGAGCACAACAGGTCCCATGGCCAGGTCCAAAAATGTTCGAGTCGGTTCCCGAAACATCTGGACGTTCTAAATACGGCTACCGGATGACCCGGACTTGTCGGCTCGCCGGATCCAGGTCTTGTACTGTGTAAGACACTTCCCTTAACCATACAATCTCAAGTCGACTTAGGTTAATGGGGTAGTTCGTATTGTTGGGTGAATACGAACAACTAGGAGAAAAAAAGAAAATACACCAGACCTCTTGTAGCGGACCGACATGGCACATACAGTATGAGTAATACGTGCCTCAACAAGTATCCAGCTTGTACGTGATCTACAAGACAGTAGTCTGACGTCATTTGACGTATCCCGTATTGGTCTAGTATCTTCCTCGGGATTTGGTCAAGTGACCAGTGACTGTATTGTTTTGTTTTTACTTCATTGGTGATAGGAAATTCCAGAATATCAATCACAACTCAATAGGACCTAAATTTATACACTAAAAACGCACTTTTTTCACTGCTATAGACATAAACTCCCGTTTCTGTCGAAAATGCTTTTTTTTTTTTGATTCTAGGTTTTTTTTTTTTTTATTCTGAAGATACATTACAACTTTTTTTTTATTCTGAAGATACATTACAACTTTTTTTTTTTATTCTGAAGATACATTACAACTATATACCTGGCAAGCCAGGCTATTGGCATCCAATGAATCTTGCAAATCGTAATCGGTCTCGGTGCTCGCTTCGTCATAACAAGGGTAGCCAATTCTTGATACTCGATCTCGCGCTCCAATCTCGGTCTCGGTTTGTATGATCATGACTAGGAAATCCAATCAATCCAAAAACATAAGTAAAACATAAAAAGAAAAAACAAGCAAAAATAAATAGTAAACGGGAAAATAAATAGTAAAAGAGAAAGGCATCACAAGCAGAAGTAGCGAATGATGGGAAGCGAAATCAAGTCGGGGGACTCATCCGCGGGGTGTCGTTTGACTTTTTTTTTTTTTTTTTTTTTTTTTTTTAATTTATCATATTGTGTGCTTTATTGGGCAATCTTTGGTAACAGTGCACTTAGTGCCTGAAATCCTTCCATTTTTTTTTTTTTTTTTTTTTTTTAATCAATCATAATATCATCATATTCCTCCATCGGGTTCTCTCTCGGTTGTGTTTAACGTAAGCACGGCTCACGGGTACTCCTGGCGTACCAGCCAATTCCTCCAAAATTCCTCCAAGTTCTCAATCAAAATTCCTCCAGACTTTGCTCCTATGCAGCAGCTCGCTCCCTTACCTCCTTGGCCCAAAGGTCATATCGGTAGGCAGAAGTGACTCGGGTGAATAAGTGGGCATGGTTTCGTTGAACCTCTGGGTCAGTACCCACGAGGCCAGTGCGGCGCATGGTGCGCTCGAACTGCCATAAAGCATGTGCTAGCTCTCGAATGTAGTTGAGAGGGCCTTCCTTGTCCTCCAGTAAGATCCAATCCGCCATTCTAGCTGGAAGGGGGACTTCAATCATGTTGCAGATCGCATGGGAGACAGGACAGTTGACGAAGAGATGTTCATGGAGGTAGCTTTTCTCTTTGTAGAGACGGCAAGAGCTACATCCAATGTCTTTGTAGGCGTAGTGGTCGGTCTTGGGGTACCACCGAGTGAAAGGGAGACGGCTGAGACGAAGCATGTGCAGCGTATCTGCGCTCTTGGCGTCTCGTCGGTAGTGCTTGCCCAAGAAATCGTTTGCTTTGAGCCACTTCTTATCATCCGGATCGATCTCGGGGGGCAGAATCTCCCGCCATTGGTCATTTTTCATGACTGTAAACTCCTTGCGCCAGCTGTTCTGTGCCTCTGCCTCCTCGACATCAAGCTGGGACATGAGGAACGCCTCCTGGTGCTGACTCATGATCGCGACTGGATTCGCTCGGCGTTGGCCATCGAACATTCCAACTGTCTCTCGCATTTCTTTCCATTTGTCATGGCCAACCATAACAAAGGGCGGCTCCTTCAGCCCAGCAACGCGAGACAACGCAATAAGCTCTCGAAGACAGCCGTTCATGGATTTCGACAGGAAGTGGTGCCAGTGCCAGTTGTCCCCTCCAAACCAGATGAGTTTGTTCATTCTCGTGGCGGGGTGGAGTTCCTTATCCACCGGTTCGCTCGCAAACAGAAACAAAGCGTTCTGTCGAGCTGGGGAGTCGCCATAGAAGAACCTCCACGCTCTAGTGGCACGTAGGCTCCTTGCCTGCTCCACAATGTTGAGAAGACCGATACCTGCTGCCCTGAGAGGCTGATAGATGAGCTCGTCATTGAAAGTGCGCCTGTTGTTCTTGTTCTCGCCAGCTAGTCTGCCATTGATCTTGTCGCAACACATCGTCCTGAATTTCTCAACCACAGCATCCGTAAAGCTTTCCACATAGGGTATGTAGAAAACCAACTTGGAGAGGAAAAACATGTTTAACATCCATGCTTTACTGTGGTGCTTGAGTCCGAACAGAGCGTAGCCACGCAGAAGTGTCTCCAGCTTCTTGATGAACTCCTTGTAGTGCTTATCCACCTGCTCTTTGTCACCAAAATGAATACCCAGATAACGAAACATGGTACCACTCGGTTTTGGAACAGTGAATTGGCGCGGTTCACCAGGATTTTTGGGGGGTGCTGAAGGCCAGAACTTGGCGAGGGCCTCATTCAGGATGGGATCGGGGGGAGAGACCGTGTCTTGAGGTGGTCTGACCCATTGGACAATTGTTTTCGACGGGTTGAGACACAATTTGGAAGCCGCTTGAAACTCTACGATCACCTTTCCCGTGGCTCTGACATCATCGTGACCTGACATGAACAGAGCAACATCGTCCGCGAACGCAGAAACCTTCATAGAGAGTGGAGGGTCTGATTCGGGGGGAGGGTGAGAGGCTTGGGGCTGTGTGTCGCGTTTGCGCCCTCGCTTTGGCTTGATTGTCTTCCGCTGTTTTGACTGTGTGTTGTCTTGCCTGAGCTCTTGGATCTCCTCCCAGAGGCGTTTTCGCACATCCGAGGGTGCTAGCAGGTGGCGGAGGCCAACCATAACAGACTCAAGTGCACGAATGAAAGGGTCGATGGCGATAGCAAAGAGGGTAGGGGACAGTGGACATCCTTGGCGCACCCTGAGTGGAACCACACCAGAAAGCACGCCTCGGATGTTGATTGTAGAGGCCGCCTTGGCCTGCACTGCCTTGACACAGTTAACAATTCTGGGCGGGAAACCCACATGTTCCAGAACCATGATGATCCACTCCTGACTGATAGAATCATACGCCTTTCGGAAATCGAGCATGCTGACTAAGCTCCTTTCGGATAGCACAGGCCACATTTTCTAATTTTCAAAAATCCGCAATAGTTTAGTGGCTAGAATTTCCGCCTGTCAGAACATTGTTCAGCACGCGGGGGACCGGAGTTCAATTCTCCGTTGCGGAGTACTTTTTTGCTGGAACGGAGAACTGGCAATTGGTTTTTTTTACTCTAAGAATGTACGCCACGACTATAAGGCACCAGTACTACACTTTCCAGTCCACTTTTAGGCTCCCTATGAGTTCTAAGCCTACCACTTCACCCTCATCTCGAGTGCATTATCTGTTTGTCTGGCTCCTGCATATGGTGCTGAGAGTTGTGTTTAGCTGCAGAATTGGGTGATTTTGAAAGTAGCGAAATGGCTAAAGAAGTGAGAGAAATGATTAGTCTACGTAATCAAAGTTAGTCAGGGGTATCAGGTAATCGAATGGCTGTTTGCCTGGTGTTTTTATTTGTATTTTATTTGTATTTTACTGTCTTATTCACACATCTTTGGACCCCCAAAAAGTCTACTTATCTTTACTCTCAACCTACAAGGAATCATAATCATACCAGAACTAAAACTATACCCAATATAGTATCAATAGCAGTATCAGTAGTCCCATGTCCCTTACTACCACTCCATCTTACTGGAACCTCGTAAATATCCAATTAATGTACATATAGCCATGTCATACATCTGTACAACTGAGAACGCTTTACGGCCGTGGCTAGCCGACATTCTCTCTATTAGAACCACTTTTCCTCCCAGACTTAGAACCGGAAGCCATGCTGAAAGTGCCCTCCGCCTTGTCCTCCTCCTCGGCCCTGACCCTGTCGAGCCTGCTGCTTCATCTGCTCCTGGAACATTGCGGCAAAGTCGAAGCCTCCGCCTCCACCCTGCTGGAACTGGAATCCTCCACCTCCTCCTCCAAAGGGGTTCTGTGGCTGATGCTGGCCCTGGCCGTCAAACTCGCCTCCGTTATCGAAAGCAGCTCGCTTTTGGGGATCAGACAGAATCTCGTATGCTTCGTTAATCTCGGCCATCTTACGCTCCACAGCAGTCTCATCCAAATCGCCCTTGTACTTGTCGGGATGGTACACCTTGGACTGGGTTCGGTAGCCCTTCTTGATATCCTTTTCGGTCGCGTCTCGAGCAATGCCCAGCACCTTGTAGTAGTCCTTGGACTTGGACTGTTTGAGCAGCACAGCCACCTCCTGCTGCCGGTTTCGAAGCAGCTGCACCTTGTGACTGTCTCCAAGCGACTGCCAGTACTGCACCTGTTCCGCGAGAATGGCATCGGCCTGCTCGTACTGCTCCTCGTCAACCAGCTTGTTGGCCTTGAGCATAACAGCAGGCACAAAATGTTCGTCTCGCTTGGAAACCAGATCACAGAAAACGGCTCGCGAAGCAGGAGGCTTGTTGGCCTTCTTCTGCGTCTGTTTGGAGTACGCCTCACAGAGCACCTCTTCCATGTTGCCCACCAGATTGGACACGGAGCCAATGTTGTCGACTCGATCAATGGGAGAAACGATCAGAGAGTCCATAAACACGCGGGTATCTCGAACAATGTCGTCAAACAGACCTTCTTCAACCCACTCCTGGAACAGCCGCTCGTAGAGGGGATCTGCGGGCTTTCTGTCTCGTTTGCTGTCCAGAAGAGCCATTCCCGGTTTCAGCACCTTGTCTCGTTTTCGAATCTCCTTGGCCAGTTTGCCACACGTCTTGTTTTCGGGATCCTGACGCAGACACTTTTGTCGAATCTGCTGCAGAGCCTTGTCGGGCTCGTAGAGCATGTAAAAGTATATCTGCGCCATCTCCTGAGCCAAAAGCACGTCTGCAGGGTTGGCCACCTGGAGGTACGACAGGTCAACTAGCGCCGACTGCGCCTGACCAAGCGCCAGGTGACAGTTGGCCTTGTATTTGTGTAACGTGGTTGATTTTTTGGCCACCTTGAGCGCCTCAGTGGCGTGCAAAATGCACTGTTCGGCGTGCATTTTGTCAATGGGCTCTTCCGAGTCCTGCGCCTCGAGAATGGACTGGTACGCCTTGGCCGCAGCCTCAGTGTTGACTAGTCCGGAGTTGGCTCCTTCCATGATTCGTTTTCGGTCTCGTTCGTCCATGCCCTTGAGGCCAGTGAGCGGCTCGAGACGCTGGATCGACTTGAGAAATTCGCCCTGTCGCAACAGAGCCTCTGCAATCTTGATTGAGGCTTGGTGCATTTTGGGATTGAGAGCCAGAGCAGCTTCAAAGTCATCCAGAGCCAGCTGCTGCTTGTCCTTGAGCAGCAAAACCGTTCCTCGACGGTACATGACACGTGACAGCTCGACGGGGTCTTCCACGGCGTCCTCGCCCTGCGACTTTTGACGTTCCAGCGCCTTATCGTACGACTCGAGTGCCTGGTCAAAAGCTCGTTCCGAAAGATACTTGTCTGCCTGGGCAATAAGGTCGCCCATGAGAGGTTCCTGCGCCAGCGCGAGCGGCAGTAGTGCCACCAGCGGATAGATGAGTTTCATTGTCGGTGTTTGTGCACAGAAAAACTGGTGTACAAGAGAATGAGAGGTCGAGAGAGTTGCAGGTTGCACTTGAATAAAGCGTGACGTGGAAATCAAAACTCTAAGCAGAGTATGGAGGTAGTGACGTGGTCAGATGGAGGGGGGAAAGGAGGATTTTTATAAAAATAATGGCGATATATATATGATTACGTGATACAAAACATCTATATATTACCCATACCACCTGTCTCTTGCCACTGAAGAACATCCGCCTTATATCGCCACCTTGATGAGATGCGAATTCTAACTTAAAGTGTGTTGATGTGAAAAGTTGGGTGTGGCTACCAAGTAAAAAGCAACTTTATAGTTGGGTGATGGTTGGGACTTTGCTTAAGGCAGGGGAACAACAGGAGAGCCAACAGAACAGCCCCAAGTTGCTCAAAATGGGAGATATTCACATAAAACTACTTCAAAACACTTATACAATGCTCCAGTATCCGTTCCAGGCATTTTGCATCTCCTTACACCCCCCCAATACCTCCAAGCTGCCCTATTAAGAACCTCGTTTGACACCTACCTCTGAAGGGCAGGTACTGAGGCTAATGCGGCATAAAGTTTTAGATACCCGGAAACGGGCAGTTTTGGACGTTTCGAAAATGGACGAAAATGGAGGAAAAAATGGGCGAAAGAAGGAGGGAAAATGGGCGAAAAATGGACGCCACATGGTCAGCAAATGATTTAGCCGTATTAAAACGAGAATTAAATAAAACAATTAAAACAGTAAAAAATAGCAAACCAGTATACACAATTTTTCCACCTGTACAAACGCTCTAGAGGCTGTACACCTATCCCAGACCCTGCTTTATCATCTGCACGGCTGACACCACTATACAAACCAAGAACAACACTACAGAACGTGACCAACTAGAACGAGACCAATTATAGAACGAGACCAACTACAGTCAACTACAATACAGCTACTAGTGCACTACAATTGTACTACAATTGCACCAGGTACCGCAGTTGTATGATACTGTACTCATCCCTGTGATCCCCATACTCGCACTCGTACTCGCACTCGTACTCGCACTCGTACTCCTGCTCTCCTATAATTCAGTTTTATTAGCATAAATAGTGCTTGATTTCACGAGAGGGGCTTTTCTCTACCCATCTCTAACCCCCTCTCCACCTATATACGTGACCAGACCTAGTCTTCAACCTCAGTCTTCAACCTCAGTCCTTACGTCTTATCTCTGGCCCCGGTCAATGGAAATGGACCGTCGGAACTGCTCGTAGGACGATCGCGACCGCACAGACGAGGACGACGATCGCCGTCGGTTTCGACGGGCAAAGTGGGGGTCCAGATCCGAGTTACCAGCGTGTCGACCCAGCACATTCAGAATGTCTGTCAGCGACACGACGCCAATCAGCTTGCCGTTGTGCGCCGCGTGGTGCGAGGGACCGTGGGTCTTGGAGGGCGGGCCTCCGGAAGGAGTAGAAGGCTGTGGCGAGGGCACGTCGGCCTGCACGACCCACAGACGGTGGGCGTTGGTGGCCACCATTTTGGCAATGGTTCGGCCATAAGACGTCTGGGGAGTCACGTGGAAGACGGGGAAGGAGTCCTTTCCATCCTCAAGGCCTCGGGCGTTGAGAATGACGGACAAAAAGTGCGCGCAGGTCGCCTTGAGCAGATGCGACTGCGAGCTCTTGGACACGAGTCGCACGTCCACCACACTAATGTTGCCCAGCAGGTTGTTGGAGGCGTCGACGACGGCCAGCGACGACACGTTCTGCGCGTTCATCTTGCGCAGCGCGGCAATCACGTACTCGTCGCCGCCAATCGTGAGCACGTTGGGATTGGGCTGTGCGAGACCCAGGTCTGTGAGCGGCGTCTGGAAGAGCGGCTCGAGCGTTTTGAAGAGTCGGCCGTTTTCCCAAATGTACCTCACCGTTCGTCGCTGCGACAGAATGCCGATGACGGCGTCTGAGCCGGGGCCCTCAGTGACTGCAAATCTGTGGACTCCAGAGCCCAGAATCTCGACTGCCGTTGCAAGCGTCGAGTCACGGGGCACGCAGATGAACGGGTCTTTGGCTCCGAGCCCCGCGACAAAGTTGACGGGCACGGGCTGGCCGGAACGGGCCTTCTTGACGTTCTCCAGCGCCTCTGGAGTGGTATCTGCGGCGTCCACGTATCCCATGACAAGCAGCAAGTAAGCATTGAGGTCTGCGTAGTCAAACGAGTGGGAGACGGACTTGTGTTCGGGGGCCGTTCGCACGGGCAGCGAGGTGAAGTGGTTTTCGACGAGCTTGTCAAACGCCTTTTCGACCGGCGTATCTCCCTCGACGAAAACCAGCTTCTCGGGCTGCACCATGAGATCCAGCCGGTCGTCTTCCCATCGACGGTAATGTTTGGCGTTTGCGGAGTCATCGTACGCCGGGAAGACGGGCGACATGGCGGCGGCGTTGGTGTTGTTGCTGGCCGCAGAAGACGACCGTGACCGAGACGGTGTGACGGCTGGAGGAGCAGTCACCAGTTCGGCGATAGAAGACTCGCCAACGGTGGGAGAGGCCGGAATGGCGAAATCGCGGGAGTTGTTCATGTTGCTGGGACGTTCCATCTGCGAGGCGTGACTTCCTTTTCGAGCTCGGGC